ACTTTGTCACAAGTAAAACGTTAATTAAAAAGATTAAATATTGTATTCAGCGTAAGAATAATTTTTTAAAGATTAAATTTTAAACCAGCAAAGACGAAATAAAATTCAGATAATTCTAGTAGTTAAGTTGTCCATTCTGCATATTCATATGCAGTTCTTAAGTAGCACTTTTATGTGAGGTGATAAGGAAACGTTTCACGGTGTCCTCGAGCTGTTTTACATTCACTCATGTAACACCACGGGATACCAGTCTCCCGCAGTCAGCGAATGTCTTCTTGAATTTTATTTTATCCTTACCGGTTTAAAACTTAATCACATTTGTTTTATTCGTCGGGTGAATACAATGTCTAATCTTTGTAATTAACCTTTAACTTATGAGACAGTGTGTAATAATTTTTAAACAAAATTGACACGCAGATGAGGTTAATGTTTTCTACAATTTTTAGTAACTTGATGTTGCAACCAATCAAGTAATGGAACATCGTGCTAACTTCGAAGAAACCATATTGCCGACTACCGAAGTCAAGAGTTTTATCATAATAATGCAACACCCGAATATTACATACTCAGCTTGACAATCTGCGGATTTGAAACGAAACTTTTAACTTTTGAAGGAATGTATGAATTCCTTAGGACGCTTTCTAAATTTTCTCAAAATTGCTACATTTTATTTTTTTATCTTTTACGGGAATAGAAACATGTACCATTATAAATATGGATTAAGCACGATTTACATCTCTATTATTAAAGCTTAACATTTATAATTAAAATAATTTCATTCTTCGTAATAAAATTTTAAAATAATTTCCTGCACACTTTTTCATCGGTTTTTGTGTAAGTTTGGGAGAACCCTCCCCCTCACTTAAAAAAGGTAAACTAGATTATCTCAAAAACTACTACGAATGTGTTCGTTAAAATGTTTGCCAGACAAAATGCACTGAATTCTATTGACAAAAGGGTTATTTTTATCAGAACAGTTGAATTTTCAAAAATTAAAGGTCAAATATTCCATGATTTGTTGAAGCGAACTTTTCAAAACCATATGGTTCAAGTTGCAATTTTATGTTACACAATAGTTACGGTAGTATATGAAAGTATGTTCTATGGCAGTACCTGCAGTTTAAACGTCTACAATTCTATAAATGCTTGTTGAAGGGACTATTCTGTAAATAGCTCCAGAATTTGGTTAAAATGAAGCTATTTCCATATTGACTGAAAATAGCCGGGTCACATAAATTTATCGTGTTTTATTAATAAACAAAATGAGAGGGAATTCAAGAGATAAGAAATTAAAAACAGTGAACAAAGTAAACAAAATTTAGTGGAAGGAAAACTGTTTTGAGACAGTGACAAATATTTGTCAATACGAGAGGAATCCAGAAGTCATTAAAAATTTAATTAAAATGCTAAGAAAAGAATTCTCGGAACACAAAATATGATTAAAGTTTTAACGAAGATTTAAGACGCTGGCATGGTTCGTTTTGTTTAATCTTCAGATTTCTTTTATAACAATGTCATTTTTTAAACATTTGCAATCCTTAGGTTCCTTCAATTTCCTATTGCCTGTTTTTATATTCTTAGAATATACTTTACTAGGTCAAACAAACTTTTTATGAAGCAATGTTATAAAATTAAGTATGTTACGTTTACACATTTGCATGCACAGTAGATACAGTTTTCGCTGCATTTACGATGTATTTCACAGACATTAATCACTATATTAAGATATCCTTGTATTTTAAAATAATTGTCTTGAAGTTTGTTTGAAATAATTATCTAATTATTTAATCCCACTGATTTGCTCAAAGATTTCTCTTCCGTCCATAAATTTGACTTCACATGCGGTGCCGTGCAACATTCACAGAGAGAATGATGTCTCTTCTTTCCTCTTTCGTCCTTTTGAATGCCTGTGGGCGCAGACAAAAGTCTCGTTTTTCTTTGTCTTGTCTCCGAATGGCTGAACGTAAAAGGAACTAACGAGGCTCCCCTTTGCCATTTAGCGACGCCTCTCATCCCCCCCCCCCGCCCCGCCCCCGCTTCCCTTTCGGAGATGCAGCTGCAATGACGTGCACGACGCCTGCCACGTGGCTCGGCACGTTAGAATCACACCATGCCCTCTCTACATCTCTCTCCACCCTCTGTCTCTCCCTCTCCACCCTCTCTCTCTCTGTATCTCTCTCTGCCTCCCTCTCTCTCCCTCTCTCCCTCCCCCTCTCTCTCTCTCTTTCCTCCTACTCACCCAATACTGTGTTCTATCACAGACGAACGATATAGCACACGTTCTTCTATGGTTCCTTTCAGTTTAAATATCTTTATGTACATTTCGTTTTTACAAATTCTTAATCTATTGTATATGGTTTTCTTGCAGTTTTACACCTTGTTTCAAAGTCCTTTCTAATCCATCTCTTCGTTTCATTAAATAACGATAATGGCTTTTTATATCTTAGACGTTATCACTACCCGCAAAAGACTTTTTTTCAAACGCAATTTACATCATCTCGCCTAATTACAGTTTTTGTGAATGTCTAAGCTATTGCTCCTTACAACATCTTCTGTGCGTTCTTTGCCCTTCGCTGTGCCCCGTAGCATCCTACCTCACGTTTTTTACCTCACCGGTAATGAACGTCGTTTCCAACCCGCTCTAGGTACCTACTTCCTGGAAACGCGTGGCTTCATGCCGTCTCCTTCGCTCGCTGCGCCACACCGCGTCCCACCATCATCGCCCCCCGCCTCCCGACTCCCGTTACGGCGTCACCCCTCCCGCCCTCAATAAACCCCCAGCGATCGGCCCTTCCGCAGCCCTTGGTCTCCCGCGCGCCCAAGCCGCGTCGACGCTTTCGACACTTTCCACGAATAAACCGTGGGAATCGACCAGGATCCTTTTCGGCCGGCTGCGAGAGAGTGATAGAGAGAGTGTGATAGAGAGAGTGATAGAGAGAGAGAGAGACGGACTGAGGGGCAGGGAGAGAGCGAATGAGGCGTGAGCGTGCTTACAGGAGCGTCACAGCGCACCGGCCGTTCTACGGCGGCTCCGGCCCTCCGCCGCCACCACACCCCCGCCCCCGCCCTCTCCACGCCTCTCCTCCCCTCTTGGCGGCTAACGAGGCGGCCGTCCTCGCCGCGGACGAGAGCGCGCCGCCCCCGGGCTCTCGGCCCCTGCAAAACAGCAGCGGATCGCTGGCCGCGCGCAGTGCGCCGGCGGGCGAAGGAGCTGGTCGAACTCACTCGACTTCCTAGCAAATTTATCTGTGACTAAAACATGGTCTAACAGCACAAGTAATTACAAACCTTTACTTAATGGATTTACTTTCTTTTTTGGGGTGTATAAAAATACTTCTTATACCATTACAACTAATTAATATGCTATCAATCATAATTAATACATCACTGCTAATAGAAGTTAATTTAATTAGTTTCGTGCACAGCATGTCAAAAATGTTAATATTCCCCTTCAACCAAACCGCGTCAATGGCATTCTGATTAAAAGTAACAATATAGTGTAATACTCTTAGGTTTACCTAAATCTAGTGTAAAATATCAAGTCAATTCTGTATACATGAAAAATAGAAAACAAAAAAAATCTCATAAATATCTGTTGTTCATTTTTCTGAATTGAAAAATACAAATGAAAAACATTGTTTGACAATGAAGAAGCAGGCGGATGAAACTGTCATTTCAGGGCTTGCTACTCAAGACATGATGCTCCATTGCTCCTCAATCATCCAGTAAATCGACAGGTGAAAACGTTTCAAACGTCTAAGGAGATGCCATTCTACGGCGGCTCCGGCCCTCCGCCGCCACCACACCCCCGCCCCCGCCCTCTCCACGCCTCTCCTGGAGTTACCTCAGTATAGGACGACTATGAAGAGTAAACAATATAATTCTATTTAAAGCATTATTACTGCATCTGTATCTTTGGTAAGCGTCCCTTATTTTCTCAGTCAAACCTATACTATAAAATAAAATTGTATACTTTGCGCGACGCTCTTGAATCCTACAAAATTGTAGGGTGTTGTGAAATCCATCAAATAGTAGAGGCGAACCAATGTCATCGCTGTACATTTGTCCTAAATTGCTGAATCAATTCAACCACACTTGAAATAGCAAATAAATCAACAGAAAAAATTCTAGATCTTGTGCTAAGACACGTCTTGCACCAGACAGTGGAAAAGGGATGTTCATTGTGACATAATGATATTCATAGAGGCACATCTGGGCCATTGTGTATCTCGTAAGTAGGCAGGTCATACAGTTTAACATTGTTGCATCCCGAATCTCATTCGTCCTCCAGTGAAAATTAATGTAGTTTTGGCATCGATCAAGAATGTCCATGATTATAAACATGTATACGCTGAATTCGCTAAAATTGAAGCAAATTGCTACTTATCTCGTAAACCTAAGTGCAATAACTCTCGCTTTAATCCGCCGGTATGAAAAGGTGGCAAAATGCTCGTACTCGGCTGATGACTCTCCAGCATAGGCAAAGATCCTTGGAGGATGTCGAGTTTCAGCTTACAACTTTCTTAGCAGAGGAGGTATCGGGACTCCGCAGAACCGAGAAATATAAATGTGAAAAATGTATGATTCCTTAAGGAAATGCAGAGCATACAGTATTGTGAGTCGAATGCTATTTCTTTTTCTTCTGCTTGTTCGGCTTGTTCTTCTTCTCTTTCTTGTTATTCCTTCTTTTTTCTCATCTCTTTCTTTCTCATCCTTTTACTTTTCTCCATTTCCTACTTGTTCTTGTTCTCCTCGTTATACGTGTCCCAGCTAATTTTAATGTGGCATGACCATTACTGGGAGTCCTGCTACATGAAAGCATGAAAGGAGTGGCGAGTCAAGCGGCTGCATAAGAAAACAACTGCGTAATCCTCGTCTAAATTTATTAACCTACAATTTAAAAAAGATGGACGAAGGGCGGTGCGCACGACGTGACGATGGAGACTTCCCCGCGCGCGCGCTCCTCCGACCCACAGCGCGGCGGCTCCTCCAAACGAGTCCTAACGGGCTGCAGGCACTGCAGGCGCGG